AAATACTGGCTTGGATATAGGGTAGATGATGTGTGTGGAACAAATTACCGGGTGACGTAGCAGACGCGGGATCCCTGGATTGTTTTATGCGTAAATTAATTTGGGACAAAGACAAATGTGTAAATTAGAAAGGCACAAGCTTACAAATAACTTCAGGAGCCAAACAATACCATTCAGATAAAGACATCAGGCGTGCACCAAGAACTCATCCAAGCCCAGATAAGTATACATGTCATACATAGTTACAGAAGTTATACATAAATGAATTACGCCGTAAGCCATCTGAAGCTGAAGTCACACACACACACACACACTCGGAGGCTGAGGGCTTAGCTGGAAGTTAAAGCCACTTAGATACATTCCTCCTTGACCTTATGACTAAAGAGGCTTCCAGCAGAAACTCCACGGAAACTGTTCTCAGAGTTTGGAGGTAATCGCAGAGGCGCTAATATGATAGATCAATGATAGATCAGTATTGATGCCAAATTATATGAATATAATTATATATATATATATATATATATATATATATATATATATATATATATATATATATATATATATATATATATATATATATATATATACATATCATTGAAAATAATGTTGGAGAAAGAATAAAGGCCAACAGAAATTAACTGAAAAATTGCAATCGATATTAGCAATCATTCCTATACGAAAAGACCACAAAAAACTTCCATTTACACAGGAAATAAAGAAACGAGAGAGCGTAACAGTACATTATTGTCGGCGAACCTCACAGTCATAACCCACAGGTCGACTACAGTCTGACCCAATCTCCGACGGAGTAATAAACCTAAGCAAACAAATAAAGTGGCGGCACTTGCGGGGGATGTGACCTAAAGTGGCAGTCAGTGTGGCAAGTGGGTGAGCCTCCACCAGGCACCCACAGCCACACCCACACCCACAGCCATACCCACAGCCATATTCACAGCCACACCCACACTGCTCCACACCATTGAGGGCCTGGTACCCCTTGGTGGATAGCGCGCAGGACTCGTAATTCTGTGGCGCGGGTTCGATTCCCGCACCAGGCAGAAACAAATGGGCAAAGTTTCTTTCACCCTGAATGCCCCTGTTACCTAGCAGTAAATAGGTACCTGGGAGTTAGTCAGCTGTCACGGGCTGCTTCCTGGTGTGTGTGTGTGTGTGTGTGGTGTGGAAAAAAAAGTAGTTAGTAAACAGTTGATTGACAGTTGAGAGGCGGGCCGAAAGAGCAAAGCTCAACCCCCGCAAACACAACTAGTAAACACACCGCCTGCAGAAGCAACTTTCTGAATGTACAACACTTGTTTTTCTTCTGTACATCTTAGACAGGGAAACACTTTCTTACATCATAAGTTGACAGGGTAAAAACGATAGACGTCACTTGTGTGGTTATACAAAACGATAGACAGCACTTTTGTGGTTCAGGAAAACAGGCAAAGCTAGTGTGGTCATACAAAGCGATAGACAGTAGTACTCTGGCCATACCAAGCGATAGACAGTAGTACTCTAGCCATACCAAGCGATAGACAGCAACACTGGCCATACAAAGCGATAGACAGTAGTACTCTAGCCATACCAAGCGATAGACAGCAACACTGGCCATACAAAGCGATAGACAGTAGTACTCTAGCCATACCAAGCGATAGACAGCAGAACTCTAGCCATACAAAGCGATAGACAGTAGTACTCTAGCCATACCAAGCGATAGACAGCAGAACTCTAGCCATACCAAGCGATAGACAGCACTATCGAGTCCATACGCCTGCAGATCTATTACCACAACACAACCACTGAATACATTTCTACCTCTCTAAGCCCTAGACAGAAGTGAGAATTGGACTTCAATAAATATGGGTATAGAAACAGGCCGGCCACTGGCACTCCATTTAAGGAAGAAAAAAAACTACATGTATCCTTGGTACTCTTTCCCCCCCAATCCTCCTTTATACCGTGTCCAATACACAGTACACCTCCCCCCCCCCTTCCACACAGGATCTGTAACACAGTACTGTTACACAGCACAGCACAGCACAGCACAGCACAGTAACACACCCCATCCTCCCCCAGTACACACAGTGCTCACCACAGCCTAGCTTCCTTCACCACACATTCACACACACACACACTGGATGCACAGTACCACACAGTACCTCTGAGGTACTGGGCCAAACCTCGCTGGGAAGCCCGAGGGAAATAGGCCAAAAACAAAGACATATCGCAAAGCGCCCAGACCTCATCCAGGCCGCGGTTGGATGAGAAAAGAGAGAAGTTGGACAGCCAATATTCGTGGGATCAGACGCCTCTATTACACCAGTTTCACAATCCCCTTTTTCCGGCTTACCAGTCTCTTTGGGGGGAGAATTGTTCGCTTCTGGGGGAACATTTCTTCCCTTTTTTGGGGGAAGAATTATTCTCTTTTTTGGGGGGAAGGAGTGTTCTCTGACCTTTGGGAAGCGTGGTAGTGCTTGAGACAATTTCCTCGGTACTTTATTAACATTTTCGTATTGCGTGGGAATATTACTCGACACACTTCTCACCCCAGATTTCTCATTCTCACTGACTCACACGCCAAGTCACTCACTCAACACACACACACACACACACACACACACACACACACACACACACACATCCGTAGTTAAGAGGTGGAATGCATTAGGCAGTGATGTGGTGGAGGCTGACTCCATACACAGTTTCAAATGTAGATATGATAGAACCCGGTAGGCTCAGGAACCTGTACACCTGTTGATTGACAGTTGAGAGGCGGGACCAAAGAGCCACAGCTCAACCCCCTCTCCCCACAAGCGCAACTAGGTGAGTACACACGCACACGCACACACACACACACACACACACACACACGTCCCTAGTACACAAGCAGCATTTTTTCTACATTATTAGTTTTCACCAAATTTACTAGAATACACAACAGTACAACCGCTGGTGTGGTATCTGACAGAAACAGCGCTAATTGATAGATCATAAAACTTGTAATCACCATTTAAATATTGATAATTAATGAGCTTCGTTAAAAAAACAATTGCAACTCCAAACGTCTATAACAACTTAAGAGAGAGTCCCAAATGGAGGATGTCGTTGGTAAAATGTGTCCACAAGTTGGTCTATCCCTGCCCCCCCCCCCCGCAAGCGTTCTGAAACTTGGCTGAAACTTGAAACTTGCTGGTACATACATCAGTAAGATACATCAGTAAGCCTTTACTGAAATATGCCAAGCCAGGGGGAGCTTGAGCTGCTTAGGAACACCAGGCGCGCACAAAGGATTTGTCGCCAGTCGAAGATCAGAGGCAATAAGCAGTGTTTGCCACATAGCATCTGCTACCAATACACTGTTTGCCGCAAAAACAAATATAGTCAATTTAAATTTTGCCCCGAGGGGCGAGTTTATTGGGCAGCGCCACTCATCCTGTGAGTGGATACACCGCCATAGTGACAGTATTGGACAGCGCCACTCATCTTGTGAGTGGACACACCGCCATAGTGACAGTATTGGGCAGCGCCACTCATCTTGTGAGTGGACACACCGCCATAGTGACAGTATTGGGCAGCGCCACTCATCTTGTGAGTGGACACACCGCCATAGTGACAGTATTGGGCAACGCCACTCATCCTGTGAGTGGACACACCGCCATAGTGACAGTATTGGGCAGCACCACTCATCCTGTGAGTGGACACACCGCCATAGTGACAGTATTGGGCAGCGTCACTCATCCTGTGAGTGGACACACCGCCATAGTGACAGTATTGGGCAACGCCACTCATCCTGTGAGTGGACACACCACCATAGTGACAGTATTGGGCAGCACCACTCATCCTGTGAGTGGACACACCGCCATAGTGACAGTATTGGACAGCGCCACTCATCTTGTGAGTGGACACACCGCCATAGTGACAGTATTGGGCAGCGCCACTCATCCTGTGAGTGGACACACCGCCATAGTGACAGTATTGGGCAGCGCCACTCATCCTGTGAGTGGACACACCACCATAGTGACAGTATTGGGCAGCACCACTCATCCTGTGAGTGGACACACCGCCATAGTGACAGTATTGGGCAGCGCCACTCATCCTGTGAGTGGACACACCGCCATAGTGACAGTATTGGGCAGCGCCACTCATCTTGTGAGTGGACACACCGCCATAGCAACATGTACAACACTCCCCAAAAGGAAGAAAACCCGCTGGGTTGTTCATCCTATCACTTGTACCCAGTTCGCTAAAGAGTCCAAAGTTGCCTTGCCCCTCACACAACCCCACAACGCACTTCCCAGCCAGTCGAGAAAATGAGTGTGTTTGTATACTGCTCATGAAGTGTACTTGTGTTTGCACGCGATGCTTACGAATTGTATTTGTTCCTTGCACGCGATATTGAGGCGTAGTGTTCCTAGTACTCCTGCAACATCCAACAGAATACCACCAACAACATTTATTATTTTCTGAATTACAGGTTTTTAACATGACTCTAGATAATGATGTGTATAAGATTCAACGTGTAGCGTTACGCGACAAGTTCATATACCTCATGTCAACGTGTATACCACACTGGATAAGGTACAACCACACTGGATAAGGCACAACCACACTGGATACAGCACAACCACACTGGATAAGACACAACCACACTGGATAAGGCACAACCACACTGGATAAGACACAACCACACTGGATAAGGCACAACCACACTGGATAAGACACAACCACACTGGATAAGGCACAACCACACTGGGTAAGGCACAACCACACTGGATAAGGCACAACCACACTGGATAAGGCATAACCACACTGGATAGACCTTGATCACATTGACCAGTACATAAAGCACACAGAGTAGGTTAGGTTAGGTTAGGTTAGGTTAGGTTAGGTTAGGTTAGGTTAGGGCCAGTTCTTCGAGAGCAGGCCACCACCCAGTGACTGTCTTTAATTTCATACACTTTCACGTGAACCTAAGTGGGCCAGGTGTAGGTAGCAAGGCCATGTGTGGACCAGGTGTAGGTAGCAAGGCCATGAGTGGGCCAGGTGTAGGTAGCATGGCCATGAGTGGACCAGGTGTAGGTAGCAAGGCCATGAGTGGACCAGGTGTAGGTAGCAAGGCCATGAGTGGACCAGGTGTAGGTAGCAAGGCCATGTGTGGACCAGGTGTAGGTAGCAAGGCCATGAGTGGGCCAGGTGTAGGTAGCAAGGCCATGAGTGGGCCAGGTGTAGGTAGCAAGGCCATGAGTGGGCCAGGTGTAGGTAGCAAGGCCATGAGTGGGCCAGGTGTAGGTAGCATGGCCATGTGTGGACCAGGTGTAGGTAGCAAGGCCATGAGTGGCCCAGGTGTAGGTAGCAAGGCCATGAGTGGGCCAGGTGTAGGTAGCAAGGCCATGAGTGGACCAGGTGTAGGTAGCAAGGCCATGAGTGGGCCAGGTGTAGGTAGCAAGGCCATGAGTGGGCCAGGTGTAGGTAGCAAGGCCATGAGTGGGCCAGGTGTAGGTAGCAAGGCCATGTGTGGACCAGGTGTAGGTAGCAAGGCCATGAGTGGGCCAGGTGTAGGTAGCATGGCCATGTGTGGACCAGGTGTAGGTAGCAAGGCCATGAGTGGCCCAGGTGTAGGTAGCAAGGCCATGTGTGGGCCAGGTGTAGGTAGCAAGGCCATGAGTGGGCCAGGTGTATGTACTAAAGGCATAACTATTTCGGGTGCTCTCAAACACCTCTAGAAGGCCTGTCCTCGGCAGCTGCCATGTTGGGTCACATGACCACATAACATCACATGACGGGTGGATCAGACACCATCAATAATTCATAGCCTGATGCTCTTCCTCGAGAAAGTCCTTGCGATACGTCTTCTCTGGCTCCAGCAGAAGGCGCTGTGGGGAGGAAGGAGAGAGGCAGAGACGAAGCAACAGACCGTCAGCCCAAGGTGGAAGGTGGGTGAGAAGATGAGAGGCAACGGGAAGAACTGTTAGAAGTGGGGAAGAGTGGCGAGAGCATGAGGAGGAGGAGGAGGAAGATTAAGAGGGGAAAGAGCCGGGTGAACAGGAGGGACACTTTGCACCTCACAACAGCCGAGTTTATCACGACACACACTTTCGTATCAAAGCCTTCCTGCATATTTGAATAGTATTGACTGGATAACTGATTATTATAACGTCTCTCTCTCTCATGTAAGAGAGAGAGAGTAATAATCTTATTATTCGCTGAATTATACACATCTGGGCACTAGTAAAAATAAACATTAATAAAGCCGAGAATATTTGTGAGGCAAGTAGGAAATATTGGAGGCGGTGGCGTTATGTGCTGAATAGATTTAAATAATGCATGACAAATATGACTTTATCTGAGACTTAGCATGAAGTACTGCTGGAGTCTCTCTCTCTCTCTCTCTCTCTCTCTCTCTCTCTCTCTCTCTCTCTCTCTCTCTCTCTCTCTCTCTCTCTCTCTCTCTCTCTCTCTCTCTCTCTCTCTCTCTCTCTCTCACTGTAGCCGGTTAATTATCAAGCAGCAGAATAAGACGGAATAAAAATGAGGCCACAATTTGAGAAAGGACAAAAATACCCACACAAAAGACTTGAGCCGGTTTATGAGACGGTGCAGTGGTGAGGGGAGGTGGTGAGGGGTGAGGGGAGGTGGTGAGGGGTGAGGGGAGGTGGTGAGGGGTGAGGGGAGGTGGTGAGGGGTGAGGGGAGGTGGTGAGAGAAGGGAAGATGGCGAGGGGTGCGGGGAGAGGGCGAGGGGTCATGGAGAAAAGAGGAAGGTGGCAAGGAGTCCGAGGGAGAGAGAGGGGAATGTGAGAGGTTAGGAGAGAGGGGAATGTGGTGAGGGGTCAAGGGTAGAGAGAGAGAAAGGTGAGAGAGTCAACTAGGCCTCTGGTAAATGCCTCTATTGCCTCGCGCAGAGCTGCTGCTGGTTGGCTGAGCGCAGCGCACTCGCCACAAGGCAGTTTGGAGCGTGAATGACCTCCGCAATATAGGTCTTCAGTAACTGGAAGTGACCCATAATAGCTCTTCATAAGATGTCGTGAACAACTAATGAGTTATGCATCGGGTAGCTAGCAAAGTGTCAATGAAACGGCAACTTGTTATCTCTGAGAGGTAAATACCGCGCACGCAGAAGCAGCCACATGGTTGAGAGGCGGGACCAAGGAGCAGAAGCTCAACACTCGCAAGCACACCTAGGTGTGTATACTGCGTTCATCATCTGTAAGCTATGAGGAAATGTATACCACCCCCTTCTCTTCTCTATCTTCAAACTCCAAATCAATCTCCCAACCATTATTTCTATCTATCTTGAGGTTATCTTGAGATGATTTCTAAGCCAGGGATTGTAGCCTATTCACCTTACAATTAAATGGGTTTAGGTAACTGTAGTGGGTTACATCGTGGGGAAGGTCTAACTTGGCTCACGAGGACCCTGATGACCGTAAGAGGCTTCCTGTCCCCGCCAATAAAGAAAACACGAGTGGCATCTGGTAATAAAGTCGACAGTTAATTAAGAACCATCAAAGCCAGCGACATCCACCATAACTCCCTAACATTTATCTCTGGATTTGTTTGTTTGCATTTTGTTGTTATAGACCAAGAGACTAGGATAAACCAGGATAAACACGCGAACATGTGCAGGTAGAGAAGGCGAGGCGAGGCAGGGAGGAGTGAGGGGAGTAGAGGGGAGGGGCAGGAGAGGAGAGAAGTGGTTCAGGGAGAGGTCAGACTACGATGGAGAGCAGAGAGGAGGAGCAAGCAGAGGGCGCGGCAGAGGAGCAAGCAGGGGGCGAGGCAGAGGAGCAAGCAGGGGGCGAGGAGAAGCAAGTAGGGGGCGAGGAAGAGGAGCAAGCAGGGGGCGAGGAGGAGGAGCCAGCAGGGGCGAGGAGGAGCAAGCAGGGGCGAGGAGGAGGAGCAAGCAGGGGGCGAGGAAGAGGAGCAAGCAGGGGGCGAGGAGGCAGTAGGGGGCGAGGAGCAAGCAGGGGCGAGGAGGAGCAAGCAGGGGGGAGGAGCGCAGGGGCAGGAGGAGAGCAAGCAGGGGCGCGAGGCAGAGGAGCAAGCAGGGGGGCGAGCAGAGGAGCAGCAGGGGCGAGACAGAGGAGCAAGCAGGGGGCGAGGCAGAGGAGCAAGCAGAGGGCGAGGCAGAGGAGCAAGCAGGGGGCGAAGCAGAGGAGCAAGCAGGGGGCGAGGCAGAGGAGCAAGCAGAGGGCGAGGCAGAGGAGCAAGCAGGGGGCGAAGCAGAGGAGCAAGCAGGGGGCGAGGCAGAGGAGCAAGCAGAGGGCGAGGCAGAGGAGCAAGCAGGGGACGAAGCAGAGGAGCAAGCAGGGGGCGAGGAGGATTAGCAAGCAGGGGGCGAGACAGAGGAGCAAGCAGGGGGCGAGGCAGAGGAGCAAGCAGAGGGCGAGGCAGAGGAGCAAGCAGGGGGCGAAGCAGAGGAGCAAGCAGAGGGCGAGGCAGAGGAGCAAGCAGGGGGCGAGGCAGAGGAGCAAGCAGGGGGCGAGGCAGAGGAGCAAGCAGGGGGCGAGGCAGAGGAGCAAGCAGGGGGCGAGGCAGAGGAGCAAGCAGAGGGCGAGGCAGAGGAGCAAGCAGGGGGCGAGGCAGAGGAGCAAGCAGGGGGCGAGGCAGAGGAGCAAGCAGGGGGCGAGGCAGAGGAGCAAGCAGGAGGAGAGGCAGAGGAGCAAGCAGGGGGCGAGGCAGAGGAGCAAGCAGGGGGGCGAGGCAGAGGAGCAAGCAGGGGGCGAGGCAGAGGAGCAAGCAGGGGGCGAGGCAGAGGAGCAAGCAGGGGGCGAGGCAGAGGAGCAAGCAGGGGGCGAGGCAGAGGAGCAAGCAGGGGGCGAGGCAGAGGAGCAAGCAGAGGGCGAGGCAGAGGAGCAAGCAGAGGGCGAGGCAGAGGAGCAAGCAGGGGGCGAGGCAGAGGAGCAAGCAGGGGGAGAGGCGGGGATCTCGCCAGCTCCCGAGACACTGACGAGTATTAATCCGGTTTTTGGCTGGTGTTTCTATGGCGGTGATTGGCTCTTTGGAGGAGCTCATTGGATTAGGCGAAGCTCTCTCGCATGGATATTTCGCCGGGATTGGCATTACTTCGGCAGTTTCCCCTTTAAACGAGCCTCTTCTAGTGAGAAGTAAAGACACAAAGTTGGTGGTTTTGCAAGAGAAGAAGTTTGCAAAATCCGATTTACCGTCGTGTCTTTTTCTCTTTTATTTTTCAGCGTAAATTCTGAGTAGTGCGAGGGCGTGTGTGTGTGTGTGTGTGTGTGTGTGTGTGTGTGTGTGTGTGTGTGTGTGTGTGTGTGTGTGTGTGTGTGTGTGTGTGTGTGTGTGTGTGTGTACTCACCTAGTTGTGTCTGCAGGATCGAGCATTGACTCTTGGATCCCGCCTTTCTAGCTATCGGTTGTTTACAGCAATGACTCCTGTCCCATTTCCCTATCATACCTGGTTTTAAAAGTATGAATAGTATTTGCTTCCACAACCTGTTCCTGAAGTGCATTCCATTTTCCCACTACTCTCACGCTAAAAGAAAACTTCCTAACATCTCTGTGACTCATCTGAGTTTCAAGCTTCCATCCATGTCCCCTCGTTCTGTTACTATTCTGTGTGTGTGTGTGTGTGTGTGTGTGTGTGTGTGTGTGTGTGTGTGTGTGTGTGTGTGTGTGTGTGTGTGTGTGTGTGTGTGTGTGTGTGACCAGCCTCCTGCATCCTTTGCAAAGTGTATCATGCACCGTCTAGATTGCACAGAACCCCATCTCATCAACTTCTAGCACTGGCGTAACTTCCACAAGGTCGCCGTAGCCAACACGGATACTAACTTCTAAGAGTCACTAGCCACTAGCAGCTGTTGTTGTTGTTGTTATAGATTTAGCTACTCGGAACAAGTTCCAAGTAGCACGGGCTATGGTGAGCCCCTAGTGGACTTACCTGACACAGGAGCGGTCCATTAGCAGCGAAGACGAGGGTATATGTACCCATATGTACTTCCCTGAGGGCAGGTGATTGGGAACACCTGATGCACTTTCACTTACCACTTAACTGAGTTACAAAAACATATACAAACCACTTTACAAAGTGAGGTACAACATCCATTCACTTAGGACTTTATAAAGTTACAAAGACAAACAAGGAGAGAGAGAAAGAGAGAGAAGCCCTTGACCGCCACGGTGTTATCGGCGCCAAGCCTTGTCGGATATTGATGAAGGAGTATTGAAGAGTTTATTGAATTCCTAGGACGGGTGAGCGCTGCACTAATATCTTCCTTCAGCTCATACTGCAAGACGAAGACCGTCCAGGAAAAAGACTGGAATACTGAAACAAGCACTTGAGGGGTAACCAGGGGGCCAGATTCACGAAAGCACTTACGCAAGCACTTACGAACGTGTACATCTTTCCTCAATCTTTGACGGCTTTGGTTACATTTATTAAACAGTTTACAGGCATGAAAACTTGCCAATCAACTGTTGTTATTGTTATAAACAGCCTCCTGGTGCTTCCGAGCTCATTAACTGTTTAATAATTGTAAACAAAGCCACCAAAGATTGAGAAAAGATGTACAGGTTCGTAAGTGTTTGCGTAAGTGCTTTCGTGAATCTGGCCCCTGAACTAAGAGCTCCACAGGAACAGGGCGTCTCGTAGTAACACAAACAAAAATCACAGTAGTTTTAAAAGCAGATGTTACAAGATCCGTCACGACGAGGTCTGGCCAGAGACATGGCCGTGCGAACATTGATCCATGTAAATGACATCA